CATCTGGTGTAGCGCAGTGAGCTGATTATATTAAAAAAGGCTTTTCTGACCTTCTGTTCTGTGGAATATGTCACAGCGCCACAACAGTGTGAATGCACAGAATTAACAGGAAGCAATTAAGAAGAATGGCTGGCATCTTTTGACATTATCCCTGGGTGAATAATTACGCACACCAACCCTAATGCTGTAATCCGTGTCTGGATTTGATGAGCTGTGCATACATCATTTTCTACCTTGTAAGGTTATGTGCCTGTTCAAACCTTTATTCTTTCCTTTTTTTTGCTGAATTATAAATGTGGAGGCTGTTGCTTTAGATAGTTCATGCAAAAAAAACTTTTTCTGTTATTGTAGTTGGGCATAGTTAGAACTGAACTCTGGGCACTAAAACTTTCATTTAAATATAGGAACCAAAAAGCCCTCCATTTACCCATTGTGAAGCACAGTACAGCCTTCCTAAAATAGGAGGTATCTTCTGTTGCCCCAGGGCCAAAAAAGAATGATTTGCAAGTCAGTGACCACTGTCCCAAGATTAGCAATACACCCGCTAATTTCTGGATGTGTGATGGGCATGAGACTTGCAGATAGCATCTTATTTTAAGAAGGCTCTACTGTGCTTTGCATTTGTTTGGTACAGTTATTTGATTTAGTTAAAGCTGGCTATACAGTGCATGAATTATGGCTGGTTCTTGACGAATCAGCCGAAATTTGCATTGTGGGTGCCTCTTCTGTCACACCTTATTTGTTCAGAAAATTGAGGGAGCTGGATGGAAAATCTTTAGGGGAACAGTGATGGCAGCCAATCAGCTGCCCTCACTGTTTAAGTATTCTGATGGTGGCACACCTGCTGCTTTCAGAATAGAAAGAACACAGCAGGAGAGCGGAAAAAATATATAACAGTGTACGGCCAGCTTTAGTTTACCATAACTTATCTGGTTATACTGTCTTGTTGGTCCTCAAGCCCAACTCCATACAATACATGGTTTCCACAATGATGATCGTCAACAAGCAAGAAACAGCTGTGTGTAGGTAAAAATAAATGGCTCTATACTAGAAAGCTTTATTTCTGCTGTTCTGGATGTACATTTGGCCCAGTGTCAAAAGGGAATTTTTGCATTGCTCTTCCACTAGTCTAAAATGAGGCATTAACCCCTTATTCTTTAGAATTGTGATGGATGTTTGCCATGAAGATGCTTTCTGATTTACGGACATTCTACAATGCTTAGCACAAAAAAAAAAATCCAAAAAAGGTTGGCCTGTCTTTTTTTTACATTGTACTATTTCTGTAGGTAGGTGCACTTTAAAGGCTTGCTTAATTGAAATTCTTGGTAATATGTTACTGAATATCCCATATCATTTTATGTAAATGGGAGCATCCACAGGAAAGTTATTTTCATATCTTTTCCTTCATGCATGGTACGTGTTGTACAGTAGCCGCATTAAAACAATGACAGAGAAAATAGTTATTAATGAAATGACCTCTGTAGAAGTCATTGAGCAGGCTTTAAGACTGCTGGCTCACTACAAGCATCTGCAGTTAGTCTCCATGGCAGCACACAACGAAAAACAAATCATTGGTGAGATCAATGGATCCCTGATTTCTGTTTTCTTGAGATTAGAAATACTGTGTCCGTTTCAGATCTGCCATTGTGAACAGAAATTCACTGTCTGATTGTAGACATCAAACCACCAATATACCAATGTACCTTGTGAACTGTTACTGCCAACAAGGAATAGACTATGCTGTCTTTAATGAGCTGGGGAATATTGTGTTGGCTGCATCAAACAAAATTAACAAATCAGAAATGATCCTTTATCCAGTTGTTGGTCATTAGGGATGAGCTTCAAGTGTGGGTCAACCATGGGTTCGACTCAAACCCTAGCTGTTCACAATTTGAGAATATGGTGAACTTTTGCGTTCTTTTGCCGCCATAGCAACCAGTAATGCACTTTTTGGCTGTAAAGTTTACCAGTTTGTGCCGTGCGAAAATAATGAGGCTTTAACATGGTTTTATCTTTAGCATCTGCCTTTCCCTTAAGGCAAGTAGGTCTACAAGTACTTGGATGCCCCAGAACACAAAGCACAATGCTATATTCACAGAGCTGGAATGCTTCCATGCCAGCTACTAAGAGTGGACCTTAAGAGAGATATGGCGGGTGAATAGCCCCACCAAATCACCAACCTTGATGGCGGGAATAGTCGAGCATCTGTTATTAGCAGATGCTTCCTGGGAGGCAGAAGCAAGAAGCACCAAGGTTGTTATGCACAGATTTACAAATGGCAGTAAAATTATCCACAAACTTGTTGACCTCTGGGACACTAGAACTGTGAGGAGAAAAGGAGCAGGACCTGGGGTAAAGGCCATAAACACAGAAGAAGGATGACAAATCAAAGGAGGAGTGCATCCAACTGTTGCAGACAAACTCTGCCCATGGGAGAAAAAAACCCCCTTTAGTTTTCCTGTCGGAAATGTACCAGCGGAGCAAGCTTTCGGGACCGGTGCACTCCTTTTGCTTGTTAGATTGAGGGTGATATGCGGAAGAGAGGGGTAGGTCAGTTCCCAACTGAGAACAGAAGGCTTTCCAGAAACAAAAGATGAACTGGAATCCACTGTCCAAAAGAATGTTCGCAACCAATGTTCTCATGTGCATTCAGCGCCTGCAAAAAGCCCTACCAACTATATGACCTTGTGTGGCGACATCAAGACACATCTGTCTTCTGTGGTTTATCATAAGGCAAAAAGCTCACTTTAACCGCTCAGAAAATGTAAATACAGAAACAGCAGAAGTAAACATACCTGAGGGAAATGTTTTATTTATAAACATTATTTAATTTGTATGACTTTAGGGTGTTTAGACAGAGAGGGCTTAAAATAACATTAGATTAATAAGATTGATAGTGATAACGGACTGGGGGCGGCTTATCTGCTGGAAATTCGTATTTTTGCTGTAGGTTAAAAATATATTCACAACAATCAGACATCTAATTTCTGTGTTACTGCCCTAAAGCGATTGCATTTGTCATTAAAAAAAGTATTGCATGGCAGCTAATAAGGTGCCATATATGTTAGAGAAAATAAAACAAACAAAAACATGAAACATACATTAAAGTGTATGTATAGCATAAGCTTTTTTTTTAGGTTTGGATTGAATAGTGAAGGGTTAAAACCCCTGCCAGAATATTTTACTACTGTCTATTGTAGAGGACAGCAAGGCTGGGTCCTGGAAGGCAGGTATATATCACAACTGTTTGGGTTGTGGTCCCTTTAAGGGCCACCAGAGGGTTGACCTTCCTGCCACAGGAAGCGGTTTAAAGGTCTGCAACTCCCAGATAGGAGTGTGGGAGTTGAGGAGAAAGTGATTAGCCGTGGCTAAGGTGAGAGAGAAATCTGCTGGATTACTGTGTTGCTGTGCTTCAGTAACTAATATTCCTGGGAAGGGATTTCCCCAGGTTTGGGACTTTTATACAACAAGTTGGTGAGACACCTTTATGTTTTGGTACGTGTGTCGAAGATTTGGACCTTTAGTTTGCGGAAGATAAACGTGTATTTTGTGTTTATCGTTTTTGGCTGCCCTGCAGAGGAATATGGAAGCTTTTGTTTTAGGCAAAACCCGCTGTGCGAGTGCTCTGTGAGCTCCCCAACTTCACACTTCCCAGGGAACATGTGTCACATTGGAATATTTCCCCTTACCTCTCGTGTCGGGGAGAGCGCTAAAATGTTGGATCAGAACCTGTTTCCTTTCAGACTGTCTCTGTCCGAATGTAGCTTAAAATGGAGCAATTTAAACAAGGGAAAAGGGAGGGAAATTCAATCCTCGGAATCATTCAGCTGTTTGTTTACATTTCCGCTTGAGCTGTTGACCTCTGTATGTGACAGGTTTTTTTCAGGAATGCAAATAAGGATAGCCAAGAATAAATGTGAAAAGGAGATAATAGCAACTGCTGGTTACAAATTATATATTTCTATGTAATATTTTATAGACACTCAACAAAAATACAAATACATCTGTATATATTCCTTTTAGGTTTGTGTATAAATAGACTATTTTGCAGAGAGAGAAAAAAAGCAGTTCTTTCACGCACTTACCTACATCAATAAAGATATAAAGAAAGTATGTTTTCAATAAATACAGTTTTATATTAAATTCTGTAGGATGAAGGATATTTTCATTACCTTTTGCTTAGTGACCTTTAAGGTTGTCATGATTGTATACATATTTTACGGAAAGATGAATTGTTATGAAGCGATCAATCTTTATTTCTGCTGAGGTCTATGGCATTTGCTTATTTTCAACCTTTTAAGGTAGAGTCATTAGCAGGATTTTTAATTAGGAAATATATGCTAAAATAATTGTACACAAATAGCATTTTTACATTGTGTGTGAATACTACATGCATTTCAGTTCTGTTTCCCCACCTATTGAATATTATGTATGCCTAGCAATGTTTCAATATCATACCAAACCCATATCTCTGCAGTTTTCTGAAATATGTTGAATGCAATGGCATGGTAAGAACCAACAGGAAGTTGTTATATCCACCATACTGTTTGCACGTTACCAGTAGCACTACGGAAGTACAATGTGAGGATAAAGATACAAAAAAACAAACAATGTAGATTTTACAACCTTACATAAAAATTCAACCAGTAAGTGCCTTTCAATGCCGACACATAAGTGTATTCAGTAAACCAGGGATAAGAACTGGAATATGTGCAGAGTGCAGTAACCCAAAACAATCAGTTATCAGTCAGAGCTATACTGACCCATTGGAGTAATCTCAAATCTAAAACGTATAGGGACTCCTTAGAAAAGAATCAAACCCTTTTCAATTTACAAGGGTGGAGGGGTTGTTTTCTAAAGTCTTCAGTTCATTATGTTATTTTTGGATTAAAAAAAAATCTCCTGTGATCAGTAATATTCCATTCCCATTGTTACTTATTTAATTGTGGAAAGAGAATTTAGTAATCACTGAAAAAATTTATTTATTTATTTTTTTACAGAGTGTTAGAGCATCTGGACTCATTCTTCTGGAATCTATTTTGTTTGGGTCACTTCTTCTTTACTTCCCAGTGAGTACCAAAATCCTGTGATTTGATGTTTGGGTAACCCTTGTGATATACAGTATATAAATATCGGCTGAAATTGGCACTTTAGGCAAATGACCATCTTTCGGCCGAAAATTGCGTTGTATTCCTAGTTTCATAACTGGGGTTACAGAAAAAAAGATTGTGTCCACAATCACTTTTTCTATTTTAAAATGGAAATATCAGAGGTCTGTTTAGACCCCTGATATTTCTCCGGAGCCCCCGACAGTAAAGTAGAAAAAAGAAAAATGTTCAATAAAAAGAACTCCAAAGATATGCTGGAAGTTTATTAGGCTCCTGTCTAAATTGGCCCTTGTATGTATGCATGTGGGATAGGGGGACGCTAGATTGTAAGCTCTTTGAGGGCAGGGACTGATGTGGAAACATGTAAAGTGCTGCGTAATAAATAAAATATTTACAAAATTACAAAGTTTAGAAAAAGACAAATAAAAGTAAAATGTTTACAAAAATGTAAAAAGGTTAGAAAATATTTGTACAAAAAATATCTGTGTAAGGTAAATAAATAGACAGTTTTGGGACATACTGTATGTACTAAGAATCAAATAATAATTAGTTTTTTATATACTACACAACATATTAAATTTGAAATCTATGTTTGAGACTGTATTAGGCCCTGGATTTGAAAGGCCATTTTTTTTGTAGTAGGGCACTACACCTAAAGCACACGTTGACTGAAACAGCCAATAATCAGCATACTCAGACAGAAGTTTGTTCAGGAGAAGGGTTAAGATGTGCTCAAGACCAAGGAAGCAAAACCCTGGAAGCAAATATCCATATCAACATGGTGACTAGTTATGATGAAAAAAACAATCAGAAAAAGGTCACATGGTTTTCTGCCTCCCACAAAAGGTTCCTTGAAAAGGGGTTCTGAATTAAGGTGGCTTCCATATTCAAATCACGTCATGTCTTTGCTTATAGCTCTTTACCTTATTTTCTATTTCTGGGCTCCATACATTTCAAAGAATGTTCAAAGAAAGCATAAACCCAGCCAGGCTTTGGGAGGGCGGCAGTAATCAGAATTTAAACTGAGGAGTTTAAGGTCAGTACTTCAAAATGTGATTAGTAGGACAGCGATAAAGAGGTGGGAGATCCTGGATGTTGGTTGCAAGTACACTTACCCTTTAATTAATATGAGAGCCTTGTTTATTATTACTTTTCAAAAATACCTAAAATCCGTACAATAGAAAATAATGTCATGGACTACCACCTTTACTGTTTCTTTGTAGTTTTTAATGCACATTGTTTTCTTCAAATCTAGAAGAGCATGTCAAGAAAGCAATGCTTTATTACTGAAGAAGAAAATATACATTATGGAGACAAACTATGGAAAAGAATGATGTACCAATTAAAAGGCGTGCAAGAGAATGGCATTATGAATCTAGCGTATGCGTTACGCTATTATCATATGTTATAGGAATGGGCCTGACATTTAGCTATGACATTTAATATGGCCATATCCCTGTATAAATAGCTACTGCCTGTACATGGTATGGTCTTGCTTTGGGAATTGCGTGGCTTATTAAAGGTTCAGCAAGGAAAAAGGGGGAAGGTAACACTTAGGCTGATCTTTCAATACAGCTAATGATGAAAAACAAGCCAGACCAGTGCTTTTCTTCCAGGCTACTAATTATAATCAGTACTTTATAATTACTTTCTAATTACCATTATGAGCTGTAACAGTGAAAGTGGACACTTATGTTTAAAGCTATGGATACCAGTGGGACTATCCGAATAAATGGAGGAAGGTTTGGAAATAATTTAGTAGATAAATATAATAACCTTATTAAAAATGATATGTTTTGTGTTTATCTTGACCAATAACCTTTTTTTGTTAACTTGCCCAAGGTCATTTTAATAAAGGGACAAAGCAGGATTTTTACAAGGCCCCTCAAAAAAGGGACACAAAACACACTTATTGATGATGTCATAAAACAGCTCCTATCTTAGGCCTCATAAGGTTCAATTCATGAAGCTTGACACAAGAATAATGATCTTCATTTTTAGCCACGTGACTGAATTTTTAAATCTCTTTGGACATTACTTAAATTATCAATCATTTGGGAAAATTCATCCTAAACAATTACCGTAATACTTATACTGAGATTGGTTGGTCCAGGGGTGTCAGCACTCATCAGTGGTAATCTATAGATATCAGATTGTTCCACAATCTAAACCTTATCAGCCATATTGGGTGAAAAACCCTGTCAAAAAATCTGTGCAATTAAAACCATAGGATGAGAGATGCATATAGAGAGGTTACCTTCAATGTAAAACATGTAAAAATTATCAGCAGGTACTGTAAAGGCAGCATTTAGGAACTAAACCCAGAAGTTCCTATTTGTCTTGCAGGATCTTATGTCACTGAGCTACCTGAAATCCTGGAAAGCAACTATACCCTGATGCCATTTCAAGATCATGATATCAACTTAAAGGAGAACTATGGGGTTAGGGCTTTTCCCCATAGTTCTCCTTAGGGTAACGGGAGGACACAAACTAGCGTCCTCCCGTCACCCTAAGTTCTGTATACCGCGAGCTGTAGCTGTATACTGAGACGCCGCAGCAGATCCCGACAATTATGTCTGGATCCGCCCAGCTGCGTAAGTGACAGCTGGCTTTGCCTATCTAGAGGCAGAGTGAGCTGTACCCGCCCCCTCCCCCGTCCGTTCCGCCAGTCAGCGCTGGAGGATCGGAGCGGGGAGGGGGGAATCCAGTCCCTCCCCTGCCATGGCAGAGAGCTGTGACAGGATCGAGAGGTGAGCGAATGCCGATATGTGTTCGCTCACTTCCCGATCTACTGAGCCGACCTGCGACAGTCTCATTGTCACAGGTCGGCTAGAACTATGAGGATGAGTGAAAATCACTCACCTCATAGTTCTCCTTTTAAGTTGTATACTACATTTCCTAGTAGTACACTCAATGATCTGTGTGAGGCTAGTTGGGAGATTACAGACTGAATTTAGAGATGTTACAGAGAATTCTGAATAAAATGTATTTTTGACATAAGCACTGTTGCATTTCTTGTAAAGCTGGCCATAGACGGGTCTAATTTTGGGTGATTTCTGTTGAATCAGCTGAAATTCAAGCCCTGGGTGGCCCTGCAAGCACCAACCAGCTCAACAAAAGTCAGTTTAAAAATCAACAGAACCGTGTGGAAAATGTTTTGCCAAGCATTGACTGCATCCTATCAGATGCAGTCACTGTTCATCTATTAAGGGATCATGGCTGCCTGAGCAGTGTAGATTCCTCCTTCCATGATATTAGTGTGGATGAGGGAATAACTGATTTATCTCCTTCTTCACACGGGCTAAATGGCCGATATCCAAGCTGTGTATGGCCAGCATTAGGTAGGTTTGGTAGCTAACTGATTGTTTTCATTTATTGCTCAGAATTTGCTCACAGTTCTGCCCCTTTCTGTCTCAGTCTGACTCCTTTTGCTTTTGTGCAGGGAATGTTATCTTTTATTAAGAGAAAAGCGCAATAATACCTTTTTTTTTCCAGTCTTCTTGCCAGTCCGATTACATCACCAGCACTTCCTCTTCTTCCTCCAGCGTTAGTGAGGGCTACATGACATGCACTTCTGGAGTACTGTGAGCCCACCCTGCATGATGATGCACTCTCTAGGGGGGCATGTAAACAACAGACTGGGCTCACAAGAAATGGGCAGAATGACAGAATATCATTTTGCCCTGAAGAGGACCATTAGAGCATGGAGATTGGGATTTTTCCACTTAACACCTAGTGAGCAATAGTACACATTTATACAGTTCCCAGGCACTTGTTTGCCTTTAAGAACTGCAGAGCCTGGCCTAATCACAAGTGCAATTGTGTTTTTTTATTAACTCACTATCGATCACTTTAAATCTGTTTTACAGTTTATTAGGCAATAATTTGAGAAGGAGAAAGGTAAGCTCAAAGGCTGCTGAATGCCCAAAACCTCTGTAGCACAAATCTACTCCCAGGGAAGTGTTTTAATTACTAGAAGCTAGTTGTGCAGATAGGCAGGGTATCACAACCAGTAAAATAGGTTCCTGTGTATTGTCTACCCCAGAATCAGGATTTAGCAGAAATTCCACTGTATTTTCTGCACCAGGATCAGGATTTAGCAGAAGGTCCACCATATTTTCTGAACCTGGTGTAGAGGTTCCACCATATTCTATGCACCAGGATCAGGATTTAGCAGAAGGTCTACCATATTTTCTGAACCTGGTGTATGGTTCCACCATATTACTTACACCAGGATCAGGATTTTGAAGAAGTTCCTGTCCATGTTATATGTGTCAGACAAGACAGGAAATTAGAAGAATTATAAGATTTGGAGACACAAGCAGCATTTACAATCTGACAGAAGTTCTGATATATCCCTATTCTATTTAAAGGACAAAAATGTTTTAGCTGCAGTTGGGGTTTAGGTTGAATTAATAACAGTACTGGTTATGGGTTTAAAATGTTTGTATGTTGGGACATTTGGAGCTTTAGAGCTGAAATCTGGTCATTTCTTAACTAAATGGCAAGCATTTTCTGGAATGTTATTGTATTTCCCAAGGAGGAAAAAAAATACATAATCACACTCTGAAGAAAATTAGTTAGCTATTTTAATTGGAAATGCATAATACCTGACAACCTCCGAGAGACAATGAGAATAAGCAATTGACCCTGCATAATGTTAAAGCAATTACAAATCAATTATTGTACTATTTCATATGGGGCGCTGTAAAGCTTTCTCGCACAGGGCGCCTAAAGGCCTAAGGCCGGCCCTGCATATCGTCTCCCTTAGCAAGTGTCAGAACTCAGCCATGTGGCTTTCTTTTGGGAAATTTAATTTGTAGATGTTAAACTGTCGGAGTTGATATGGAGGCTTGTATCCTAAGTTTCCAGCTTAGTAGAGGTCATATAATAAGGGTGTTTAGTTGAAAGGCATAGTCTACCTTTTGCAAGAAATGAACAACTGCACACACATTAATGAA